GCCAAGGACAATATGTCCAAGTCTTAACCCTTTCAGCTCAAACCACCACAATTATTTGTAATAGTACCTCTCCCCATTACCGTCCGTGATCATTGAGCAATTGGGCTGAGAGTGGGACTTGGACATGGTTGTTTTCCACCAAGGTCACACCATTTAATGGTCAAGGGATTGTTGCATGTTCCACATTGGTATTCGCGCCGTTTGGGGATAGTCGCACCAGTGAGGAGCAGGCTGGTCATGACGAGGATGACAAAAGTGCCGATCAAACATTTTTGTTGGCATTCCCAGGTTTGTTTGAGCAGCCAGAGTCTCGAACTGGCGATTATGTAGATTACTCAGGTTGGTGTGTGGGGTATGTGAAACTAGGAATTGACGATTAGGCTATGGGGCCATGGGTAACCGGCTCTGGTTTGTCATTTATAAAGGGCTTGCGTGAGGTTGAGTTCAAGGGCAATGTATTGATGCCTCAGATTCTTTTTGCTTTTTGTTTTATGTATGTTTAGGAAATGTTAATCTGGATATGCAAGGCTGATTGCAGTTCAAAGATTTCATCAGATCACGTTGCAAGTGGCTAGCCCTTGAGTGCTGTGTCACTAATGTTGTTGATGTATTTGTGCCGTTGATTGCAGGGGCACCAGATAGGGACACTTCTTGCTCAGCGGGACCTCTTGTCGGTACCATCTCAGGTGATTCCGTTTGGAGCTTCCTGAACAAGTAGCAGTCCTTTCAAAAGTGCAAGATAGCAACCAACCAATAACTTCCTTGTTCATCTTTCAACCAGCTTTTTGGTGGTGCCATACTGGATGGTCAGTCCTGAAAAAACACACTATGTATTGAACTCGGTTACAGAACGCTCCGATTTTTTTTATTTTGGTCTCTTGCTTTCACTACAGGTCTCCTCGATCGTGATCCAATGTAACTTCTGTGATACAACTGGTAGTAGTTCCTTGATTTTTTTTTCACAGTGTTTGATTGTATTTATATTAGGGTTCCGATCCGGACCCCAAAGATCCGGCACTACCCGACCGGGTACCGGGTTGAGTCGGGTCACGGGATGACTCTAGACATACCCGGTATCCGATCGGGTATTTTTATGCCTAAAATTCTGCCCTTTTTGGCAGAAATCCGGGGTTTTTGGGGGTTTTGGACCCTTTTTTTTCGAGATTTTTCTTTTTTTTTCAAAATCAAAAGTTAGTTTTGGGCTCTCCCAAACCGCTTGGTGAAGTTTGGGCTGGAGGCTCAGATCCGTCGGGTACCCGGCGTCGGAGCCGGATATGCCGGGTTTGGATCTCGAAAAGGTGATACCCGAACCCGGAGGCCCGGATCGGAACCCTAATTTATATTAGTCACACCATTCTGTCACATTCTAAAACCAAGACATACTGTGGTATGCATTTGTATTTCTATTAGCGGGGTTCACAATTGGGATTTGCCAGAAGCGACCCTTGTGAAACTCAGAATTACTGACAGATGCTTACAATAGTGGTAAAAATTTTATATTGCTGAACACATCAAAGTGATTTGATCAAGCCTTTGGAGACTTGGTTGTCTTGGTCCAACAAACACTTTTACAACCTGTAGCAAGTGTGAAGTTGATTTGTTCAGGCAAGGTGTAGTGCTGAAGGTCTCCTGAGTTTGCAGGTTTTATGCAAAGACCACAAAAGAATTCTATCAAACTCAGAAGCAAAAAGTTCAATTGTGAACCCCGCTATTATTTTTCTTATCTAACAAACTGGTTGCTTCATTTAATTGTTATTTTATAATGTGTTCTCTAACTTCTTATCAGCTTTGGTTCTAGTGTCAATCATAATTCTTTCATTATCTATTCAAAATCAAGCAGTTCTGGACTCAACTTCCACACAAATTGTTGGCTCAAGTTGCTTAAAGTGACTCAAAGAAAGACCAAACTTCTGACACTGCAGCCTCTAGGGCCCTAGCGCTGGAACCCCCGGGGTACCCGGGCATTTTGGCCTTGCCCGCGCCCCGACCCGAGGGTATTCCCGTTAGAGATCGTTCGTTCGGACCTAGGTACCTGTTTATACCTAGGTACCTGTTCATTTTTTCAAGAAAATAGATACCATGTACCACACCAGACACCTCCCGGGGGGTACCCAAGGTACCTGTTGCAGGTACCTCAGGTACCCCCCCTCTCTTTTTCACCTAGTTTCACTCCCAGAGTCCCAAGTCACTTTATTATTATTATTATTTCTTCATATTTATTGTAAAATATCACTCACAAGTCACTTTTTTGGCATTTTTTAATATCTGTTGTAATATATCTACATCTAATTGGAAGAATCTTAATCTTCTATTTTTTTCATGTTTATTGTAAAACATCAGTCCCAAGTCATTTTTTTCATTTGTTCATATTTAATAATTGATTGCAAAGTTTAAACTATCTGCAACTTATAACTAATTGGAAGAATCTTCATTGTCATCCAAAACCATAACCTTCCTTTCTGATGTTTTGTTAGACTTCTTGTTATCCTTGAGTCCCTGTTTCCATGCAGCCAAAGTACCTTCTTGGATCTTGGAGTTCTTGGAGTAGAAGGCCACCATCATTTTGATTTTTGGTAGGGAAGTGAGGGGGTACCTGTAGAGGTACCTAGGTACCTGTTCAAATTTTCACAAAAATAGGTACCAAGTACCGCACCTGGCACCTCCTGGCGGGTGCGGGGAGGGTGTGAGGGGTACCCCCCAGGAGGTACCAGGTACCTGCAAAAAGTACGGACGAACGATCTCTAATTCCCGTCCCTCGGGTACGAAAATCAGTGAGACCGAGGCCTACCCGCCGGTATAGGGAACGGGCCACGGGTACCCGCGGGGTTGAATTTGGGCCGGGTATACCCGCTCATTGGAGGGTATACCCGCTCAGCATAGGATATATCCGCCGATACAGGGTCCCGCCTCGGAGATACCCGCGGGTACCCCGGTTTGGGGACGAGTTGAGGCCACTTGGCCCCCACTGCCCCTCACCCAGCGCAGACCCGAGATACCCGCGGGTATCTCCAAGGCGGCCCGTGGACCGTACCCGACCTACCCGTCGGTCTTCGGGCTCCTGAAAAGCTGTCCCGGAGCCCTAAACCGTTGGTGTACCCGCCGGGTATACCCGGAGGTCCCGGGAACGGGTTCCAGCGCTACTCTAGGCTCTACCAAGAAAAAAAGAAGGATTGAGAGCCTCTTGGATCAAATTTTCCCCACAAAATCAATACTTTCTCACAGGTCTTCACTGCAAGGACTGCAGGAGTGGTAAAACCAGTCCTCCACTTCATGAAAGAGAACTACATGTTTCCATATCTGTTTGGATTTATATTCCAGTTTTTCTTGAAGGAACAGCCAACTTAAGAAACTGTCCATACATCTAAGAGGGTAATTATGCTTTATGTTTGCAGGAATCTATGGAAGATGTCAACAAAGATTAAATTGTGTATGTAAATAAATGTATTTTATGATCATTAAAAATTAACTGCAAAATTAGAAGAAAAAAAAGACAAGGTTTTCTGCATATTGTCTTCATCAATGGCCAGTGTACATACAGAAGATGATAATGGATGATGAGTAAGAAACAGAGAAAACAAATCAGAAAAGATAATAACAATATCAAAGGTGAATCGTACAGGATGAGGAGGAGCTATGTATAATTGGAGGGATGATTACACTTCCTATTTTTTGGGGGGGATCAAGATATATACGACATTGCAATATGTGCATCAAAACAACTTGAATTCACAGCCTCTCAAGAGCCAACTACATTGGTTGACATCCTCACAATCACGAGAGAAAGAGCCATCAAAATCGAAATCGATGGGACGATTAGAGAGAGCTGAGGAACTTGGCAGGATCCAAGGAATCGTATTCGCTCTCGGGTGGAAGATCCTCGAGGCCATCGAGAACATTCTTCGACTTCGTCCCATGACCTTCGATCCCAGCATGATGACCACTGTTGCTTGGGTCGGATTGACCCGGATCACTCGAGCCAGTGTCAGTTGATGAGACGTTGAATAGGTCTAAGATCTCATTGGTGTTCAGTGAAGCCAGGTTAGAGTTTTGCTGGTTGACGATCGAGGTCGCAATGTTCATCTTGAATCGTTGTAATCTGAGCAGACCAAGCAAATGTAGTGTCAGATCATTATCTTGTCCACAAATGCTAAGACGATCAAGCAGACTAACCCCATGATCTTTTCCTCCAAGGTAGCACGGGTAATCAGTCGATAGACGTTCACAACCTTCTTTTGTCCCAGCCGATGGGCGCTGCAGAATGAACGAGAATGCAGTAAAACAATGTAATCAGACAACAGCCAAAAAAAAATGACGAGTAAGCAAAAAATAATGACACGAACCGATCCATAGCTTGCAAATCTTTCATTGGGTTCCAATCGTGTTCCACAAAGATGACTGTATCTGCACCGGTCAGGTTGAGGCCTAAGCCTCCAACATGAGTAGTCAACAAGAGACAGTCGATACTGGGATCAGAATTGAAAGTTTGGACGACATCGTGTCTCTTGGTAGCGTCAGTCGAGCCATCCATTCTCATATAGGTGACGTTGGGCATCTGCAATTTGAATAAATCGTGCTCGATGATATCCAGCATTTGCTTCATTTGACAAAAGATCAAGACTCGGTGCTGAGGAATCGTCCCACCACTGGCTGTCGTCCCTCCCCCATCATCAGCAACTGTCTCGATCAGGTGGGTCGATGTGGTCAGGCCAATGCCACAATCGCGCAGGATTTGCCGTAAGGCCAAGAGCTTGGGTGCATGGGTGATATCACGAAGACCTTTGGGGCCTAACTTCGAGATGATGGGTTGATGTTGTGGAAGATCGGGCCGAAGGACGAGGGACGGATGATTGACTAACTTCTTGAGATACTGTAATGCTTGGAAGACATGTTGAGCTGAAGCTTTGGTGCGTTGGGATGTTTTGATCAAACTTTCGGCTTCGACTTTGGCTTGGGAATTAGAGAAGTCTTCATAGAGACGTTTTTGTATGGGTGATAGCTCGCAGTAGTAATCTTGAATGATTTTGGGAGGGAGGTCGTCCAGTACGTCTTCCTTTAACCGTCGCAAGAGGAAAGGTAAGACTTGTTTGTGGAGAGCCTCAAGCGCTAGTGCACCCGCCTCTTGCTCCTTTGACGAGCTTTTCGCATCACGACTTGCACTTATCGGCCGCCCGAACCGTTCATTGAAGTATTTCTCGGTGCCTAGGAATCCAGGCATCAAGAAGTCAAATAAACTCCACAACTCCAGAGCATTATTTTGAATCGGCGTTCCAGAGAGAATGAGGCGATGGTTGGCCTTGAGAAGCTTCACTGCTTGTGATAGCTTAGATTTCGCATTTTTAATGATGTGCCCCTCATCTAGGATGCAGTAATTCCACGTGAACTTTGAAAGACGTTCGATATCATTCCGAACGATATCGTACGATAAGATGACTACGTCATGTTTCTTGATCTTTTTCAATAGTACTAAGCGTTCTGGCGGGCCACCGACGTAAAGCAGAGGTTTTAGATTGGGAGCGTAGGTGCGGATTTCATGTGCCCAGTGTCCAGTTAGTGTAGGGGGGCAAACGACGAGCGAAGGTAGATGGACGGTGCTAGGACTCGGCTGGAGTGCGTGCAGTTCAGCTCGTTCATGATGTTTGCTGGCGAGGATGCAGATTGATTGTAATGTTTTACCGAGACCCATATCTGTTTGGAGCGATGCGATTCAATGCACAATCTTAGAAATAATCATTAAGAGAGAGAGAAACACTAACCGTCACACAAGATCCCATGCAACTGGTATTTTGCCAAGAAGGCCAGCCAACTAATTCCATCACGTTGGTATTTTCTGAGATCAGCTTTGACCTTGATGGGTATATTGTATTCTTCGATTTTACTACCACCCAACAGCTGCGACAGAAATTGACGCTCGGACTGACGCTTTTCGAGCATTTCAGCAGGAAAGCCGGTGGGATCTGGAACACCGGCTTCCAAGGGCATCAACTTGATGAGACATGCGAAGGTATGAGTAGCCACGTGGCGCACATCATCATCAGGGTCACTCATCCGGCCCAGGACGGGTACGACCAAGAAGATAATATAAGCCAAAATCTTGAGACTTAGCACATCGACCAATCCTATGATGACGCAAATTGGAAAGGAGATGTCAGTGATATCTAATCAGAGAAAGACAGGAGGAAGTAGGCGTACTGGAGAGCATCTCGATTGCACCTTGGCGATGAGCAAGATTGACAGGATCTCCGACCAAAGGTAACACGTGGTTGATGAAGTGAAGCATTCCTTCTTCCGGTAAGAACTTGCACAATTCAGCGTAACATTTCACTACCGAGTATCGTACAACAGCAAATTTGCTTGAAACGGCACGGCACAGGGGTTCGAAGAGTAAAACCAAACGGGGGAGAGATGAAGAGGGTAAGCTACTAGCAACGGCAGGTAGAACGGTAAGACAGTCCAGTAGATCTTGAGCCAATTTCGGTTCCACTGCCTCGTTTTCCATCTTCGAGTCTACTTGAGCCACATCTCCTGAACTGAATAGTGTCAACAAAGGTTCAGACATGCAATGCCACAGCTTGGGTATCCGATCGATAAGGCTATCGCCGAATCTAGCAGCCAACGATGACAGGGCAAGTTCAGCCCCGCGCCTCAGCAGCTTAGCTTGGGAAGAAGCGCTCTCAGATTCAGGGCTATCTCGGTGCGTTGAACCGCCCTTTGTGGGAGGCCGGATACCATTATCCTCGGCGGAGAAAATTCCCACTTTGTTGCCTTTACTCTTTGCAAAAGTTGGGGTTTGAGATTCATCTTGACAGAGATAGGTGGCTAAGTTACGAATGATTTTGTCTGTGGGATCGTTTTTGACTGGTGACTCGGGGGAAGTGCAGATGTCAACAAAAGAAGCCAAGGCATTGGCGGAACGTGTTTGAAGCTCGAGCACGGTTTCGTTCTGAAAAAAGAAGTAAAGCGCGGCAGCGAGAGTTAATAATACTGAATGTACAACTTGACTGTGATCAGTCTTCCGGTTTGCATAACGCTAAGCAGATGACCAACCTTGATACTTTGAGTGAAGCCCTTGATAACAGGCGAGATTTTTCCAGGAATTTCGCGAAGTGCGACAACCGCGGCGGCAGCGGCTGCATCTAGTTGGGTATCGAACGCGACTTTGTCCCTTTCAAACATGCCAATGACATGCAACAACTTCCGCCTACGGTCCTCAAGACTTGCTAGAGCCGTCTTTTTATTGCCTCGACCTAACAATGGGAGTAACGTCTGATAATCATCGTTGACTACGTGCGATGCGTACTCGATCGTAAAAGGATCTGAAGGCAACTGGGGGATTTTCTCAGGAGGTACCTTGCCAAGACTGGCGAAGGTTGCGAGCAGACCTTCGATATCTTTGCGTGTACCGGCTAGAAGCGAGTCCAATTCGGCATGGCTTGACTTGGTTCCTGCAAATAATGAAGATTTCCGAAGCTGGTTTGACAGGGGCTGTATAGCGGTCAACTGACCAAGGTTGGCTGTTTTGAGCTCGTCGCTAGTCATACGATACTCTTCAGCCCAATTTTCAAGGGTGATTGAAGCAAACAACTTTGGAAGAGCGAATTCAGAAGTCATTGATTCCAGTAAGGGCTTGGTAAACAAATCGAGATGATTGAACCGAGTCAATTGCGACATTAAACAACCGATCGCTTTTGATGCACTTAACCTTCCACACAGAATATCGTCGATGGAGACTAAAGATAAATCTTGTGACATGATTGGTTTGTCGACATTGTAAACCATGTTTAAGTCTTGTGCAGTGGTGGGTTGGGCATGGCGAGTCGCTGTATAGAATAGGGAGGCATTGAGTTTGCGTGTTCTTGGAGTTGTCATCAATTCAAACCAGCCGCTCAAGTGAGGTTGGATAAAGCTCAGCAGTAGGTCTGCTGATTGGGTAGAGTCCAATAGCCCGCTAGTTGCTGCAATCCATACTTGATGCGACATGGCACGGATATCAGACCGCTCTTCGACCAAAAGATTTTGAAATGTCAGGCGTAATAGACGTTCATCGACCCATTCACGCACAGGCAGATTGGGCATTTTCAGAAATACATGGATCGTTTTGACGACTGATAATCTGACACTAGAAATGGTATGTCGGAAAAAGGGGAATAGACGTGGGATTAATGAAGGAAGAGTATGACCGCCAAGCGCAAGTGATAATTGGCCCAGAACAGTCGGATATGTGATAAGGTTTGCTGGAAGAAATAAGACAATGACAAGTCAAGTCAGCAGGATAACCCAAAGGAAAAATATAGAGAGATAATGACAAACCCAAAAGATCCATTATGTTCCCCACGGAACTTGAGAGATCATCTTTGGAACTACCCAGGGCATCCCAGAGCACTTCAAGCAGTTCATTCAACCTCGTTGGTAAAAGTTCAACAATAAGATCGGTCACCGGTAACAATGTCCCGGAAGCGGCAGCACGGACGTCGTCATCTTGATCCCTCAATCCAGTGAAAGCAGCTGAAGTGATTGTCGATAGGAGTGCAACAGGCTGAGTACCAGACCAGCGATCAGAAGAAGATTCGCTATCAGACACATGCCGCTCGCCTGAAGCAAGATATTCCGATCGAGGCTCCAGTGTGATTGTCGGCTTGATGTCATTCGTGCTGTCGGGATTCATTGAGACCACCGGTTTGGCATCTTCCATATTCTCATCGACTTTCAGAGGGTCTGGCTTCGCTGTTGGATTATCGATCGAGGTTTTCATGCTTGAATGATCAGGATCTTCCTTGAGATTGACGCGAAGCATTTCGTTTTTGACAGCAACCAAATACTTCATCCCTAATAGCCCCGCGTGTCGGACTTGCCAAGCGTAACCTCGTTGAGAATGAGAGCGAACGTTTTCCTGTTCGACCATTTGGTGAAATATAGACAACATATGCTTCACTCCATTTGGATCCAGATATCGACCCACTAGACTGATAGCTTGAGCAGCAGTCTCCCGAACAGGGGCAATCACTTGATCGCCTACATAATCGCCAAACCGATCCAAGCTGAGTAGACATATTAACCGGAGGCCAATATCTTCCATCCATAGTTGGTGCTGCTCCGCATTTCGTGAACAGGTAACACCCACCGATTTCGCTGCGCCAGAGCCTTGGATCTTGAGCAAAGGAATGAGACTCAACGCTGCGCCATGACGGTACTCCCACTGGGATGAAAAGAGATCGATCATTAAAATTTCAACAAATGGTGTAAACGGCCATTCACCCGCCTTATAAGGCAAGGGGGCATTGGTATTGTGAGAAGGGGTAACCGCATTAATTTCACCACCACTGGGTGAGCCAGAATGACCGAGGGCCGCCTTGCGAGCCTGGGCTTTGGCTCCTGGATCAATGATCACCTTGTCACTCGTAGTTGGTTCAGTACGAGACCCGGCCTTGGAATTGTCAGATTGGTTTTCGTTGTGAGGGGCAACCTGTGAGCCGGAGCAGTGTACGGATGGAGATGTAGGCACGGCGACACGTCTATGAGGATCATCAGATGACATGGAAGTTTGCTCAATAATTCGAAATTTCGGGGTCTGCGTAGGTTCCGAAGCGTTCGAGGGGAGTGCGGACATTCCAGCGTTGGCAGAGCTCGATATAGATGAACATGCTGGCCCCGTGTTCCCTTTACTGATCGCTTTGCGCTTACGCTTCAGTGCATTACGTTCACGAGCCGACAACCCCTCCAAAGTTTGGGAGGACAGTTCAGCCTCCGAAGTGGGTGCAGTGGCTGGGAGTTGAGGCAATCTCATGGTGGGTGTTGATTTGGCTGAATTAGTGAGATTCTCGTCGGCTGGTGGATAAGATGAGTGGCTGGGCTGATGAAAGACATGGGAACGAGGCGACTGAGATAGGCCAAGGGTGGAGAGGCCCGCTGCCTCTGAGGTGGGTGTGATGGATGGATGTGATTCACTGTAAGTACGTGGAGGCAGGCGAGGATCAATTGAAATCGGAGTGATGCCCTGAGGCCGATGATGATTCGGGGTTGAGACTTGCGAGGAATCTTGAGGTTGATCTTTCAGTTGTTGTTCTTGCACTGGGTCATCCACGCCCATAGATTCAAAATCGATCGGGCCCAAACCACCGAGCCCAAGCTTGTTGGCCACATCACGCTGGGCTGCTATCAGGTTTTCCCCTGTGCGAAGATGGTTGGATTGATGATCGAACTCCTTGCCAGCTGACGCGAGGAGGATGATACCCTCACTTAGGACGTTATCCAGCTTGAAGTTTTGGTAGGTGAGAAGATTTTCGCGTCGAGCAATCTGGTTCTCGAGGTCGTGAGTGATACTCGAGGCAGGTTTCTCGTTTGGGTTGGAAGCGGCGCCATCGAGAATTTCAGTTGGAGAAGGATCCCAGATTCCAACGGCCTTGCAGATTGCGTCGACAGCTTCACTGGCAGCCTGACGGGTCTCCCAGCTTTTTGATCGAAGGTAGGGTAGAATTCGACTGAGCAGATTGACGATTTCTTGCCATTCCCCATCGACGCCGCGCCATTCCGACTGAGTGATCGAGGGGCCAACGTTGGGCGCAAGACTTGTGGAGGAAACGAAAGATGGCGAGGAATGTTGGATGGTCTGGGCCGCGATTTGGCCGAGCTGACGGGCAGCGGTGAGACGGACTGAGGGGGTTGAGCCAGTATCGAGTAGGAGTAGCAGGCGATCTAAGCTGGCAAAGCAACGGGAGCAAGGATCAGAAAGACAGATTGATAGATCAAAGTCAGTATGGTCATACCAGAATATGTGGAGCGTTCTACTACGATTGGCAATTTGCAGCAAGTGTGGAGGAGGGGATCAAGAGCCACAGGATAAGGCTGTTGACCGGCCTATGTATCCAGCAGCAGCAGAGATCACGGTCGCGTGTTGATGATATGTATGCATCTAGTCTGGATCTACATAAACAGATGGCGTCGGTGTAAATCAAAAAAAAAAAAAAAAATGGGAAAAGATGACGTCATGTAGGGTCATGAACAAAAAAACACGGGGCGGATAGTGAGCAGGGTGATCCGGACACTGATGGGTGGGCTGTACACGCACAGCAGAAGTGGGGTTGGATCGGACGAGAGGAGGGGCAGTGTAAAAGAGGGTGATGCTGTTGATGACTGTACAGATTGGGACTTACCGAGTTGTCATTTTTAATACGAAGCGTAACAAATTGTGTGTGTGTGTCGACCAGGTTGCGGAGGGGGGTGGGTGTAAAGAGCGGGTTTATGTATCAAACGGTTTCAAGAGGAGCCTACGAACAGAGGGGAAGGGGGTTAGGAATGGGAGGAGCGCAAGCGAGGAGAGGGGCACAAGTCAAAAAAAAAAAAAAAAAAAAAAACGCTGGCATCAAGCAATCCGACAAAATGCGTAGCTTAATAGTTTTGCACCGCACCAACCAGCTCACCACGCTCACCCCCAACAAACATACGAACATCTCTCCAACCTACTTCTACACCAATTTGAGTGCACACTCTACAACAACCCAACACTAGAATAAACAGAACGAAAACAGTTTCAGGAGCAGGGGCAGGCAGCGACGATGGACATAAACCAACTTCAGTCGAAGGGGCCGATAGACACGAGTTTTTTTTGTATGCATGTCACTCCAACCCATCCTTTTGTAAGAATTTCTCAGTCGTAAGGCGAGAACCGGGCAGATCTGAGATGATCTAGTAGGCAGACATCTATCTCGGTAGTTTCAAAAAAAAAAAACCATGATCCACCTTCTCTGTATCTTATCTTGGCCCTGGGCATTTGCCAGAAATAAAATCAAAAAAGGACTCCATCTTCAAGTTGATGTGCGGGGGATGGTCTGTGACCTGGGTCACAAGTCCATCTGAATACTGGATGCGGCGGAGCCGGCCGGAATGCCGGCCGAGCCATTCATTCAGGAAGTCCAACGGCCTCCTTTACGGCTTGAAAGCAATGAGTCAACGACTGTAACACTTGTTCCCCGCAATCTATCTACGTATTAAAATGTATGATTATCCCTAATTTCTAACGCGTCTGTTGCGATGTGACGGGGTTAAAGTTTGGGTAACAAGCAATGATGAAACCAATCTTGCGAACCACAAAACTTTCAAATGTGCGCTGGAATATACATAGCTGTTCTAAACCACGTGTGGAACTGCTTCCACAACAGCCAATTCCCGTATTGCTAGACCGATTGCTCTCCTTCTGGCGTTTCGAGCTTAGCCTCACATAGACACATTTTGTCTCCAGACTAGCCATGGTGATTCTCCGGAGGTGGAGAGCTCTTGGGATTCTGCTTTTTTGTTGCATACAAGCAAATCACTACATTAATGCTGCCGATTCAATGGGTGAGTCACTAAGTTGAACCCACAATCTTATGCAGATTGTAACATGGAAACTGATGCGCTTTTCTTTTGCTAAATTGTGTCTTATGTAAAAAAACTTAATAAACCAAAATCCCATAAGAGTTAGAAGCAGAAGTTTTGAACAGGGCCAGAAGTGGAAAAATTTGTCTGCCAGGAATTCAGGATCTGGTTAAGAGAAAAATTCCAAATATTCAAGAAAAGCAAAAAGAAGTTTGGGATTACATGGCTACTGTCCCCCAGTTTGAAAGACAGGATTCAGTTTTCAAGCAAACTGGTGCACAGCCAAGACATGTGGATACATCCTTTGGGAACTGGAAACAAAGTAAGTACACTTAATTTTCTTCAATTTTCTTCCACACATATACAAAATGCTTTCAGTTACCTATTGACTTGACAGGTCAAATGGAGTCAATGAAGGAAGATTTCTTGTTGATAAAAGAAGACCTGAAAAACCTCCTTAAGGGTAAATTAGCAGATGGTACCTTTTTCAATGAAGATGAAGAGTCTAATTTGGAGTTGAAAATGGACAAGTTTCAAGCCCATGTTAAAGAATTGAATACTATTTATACATCAATATTACGGTCAATACAATTGAAACTTTTCCAAAATGAACTCACTAAAAAGGAAATTCTTCAACAAAAAGATGCACACCAGAAGGATACACATGTGTCCCATGACATTCCAACAAGTTCTAAAGGGAAGATGAATGGACCAACATTCAACAAAATATCAAGAGATGAAATTGAAGTGATTGAGGGACATATTCCAAGATTGCTGACCAATGACTTGAATAAACTATTAGACAAGATTCCATTTGAACTGACTGATAAAGTCAATACCTCTGATCATGAGACTTTTATAGCCATCAGACTACATAGCATGATCTTCCAAACCATAAACTATCTTTACAAGTATAATCTCATACCCAAAGAGGATATAAATAACTTGTTTGGATCCAAACAAAAATTGGATCTTGCTGCAACCAACATGGTCTTGATTTTCAAAATCAATGCAGAATTTGGAATAAGACGTCCAATCTCATTTGATGGAGCATACATTTTGAGAAGCCATCATTCAGCACATTTTAGAAATATGTTCAAAGGTAAGAGTAGAATAATTTTATGTATAAAAAAATCACATGCAATTGAATGTGTTTGGCTGATACATTCAAAGTTGATCTTATATTTTTATGATTTGTTCAAACAGTTCTTGGTGATAATCAAAATAGATATATCCAATAGGGGGTATCAAATATAACCAAATCCACCATTATTTAATTGACTGGTTTGCAAAAATCCACCTTTTTATAAACATGTTGGTTATCCATTTAAACCCTTTTAGGGCCCATTTATACAAAAAAAAGTTTTTGGAAAAGTGACTGGTTTCTGATGGTGGATTTCCTATATTTGATACCCCCTAATATGTATGTTTCAAATTGGTTTGTTACCATCACATTGAAGATGATCTTTTGGCAAGAATGGGTGTGGATAATAAGGAAGATTTGAAATCAATGATTCACTTTTTTCTGGAAGATGAAAGATTATTCAACATTCTAGAACAAGATCTCCAATCTCAATCACTCTCAGAATTGCAGTTCATACATCCAGAAAGCAAAGATGCACGTGAAATGGAAGTCAAGAAGAAAGTTGAAGATGTGAAAGATGGTTTCCTTGATCCAAATCATCCACATAGAGAGATTGCCAATTTGACTATTCAATTCTTCATCCTAAACTTCATCCAAGACAATTACAAGAGTGTGTTCCTCAAGCAGTGGGGGGATGACAAATTTTTTCAGCAGAGGATGGGATTGCTTAGAGAGAACTTCCAATTATTGCAAGAGTTGAGAAACATCAGTAACTATTTTCTACTGATAGCAGCCAGCATTTCATCCCCATCAAGAGATTTAAAAATGCTTCAAAAACCTGGAGATTTGAGACAAAAAATCATCAAAGAGGCTGAATTGCTTTCAAGTCATATGCTGATAATATTGGCAAGGCATGACCATCATATTTCTGGCTTTCTGAACAACCATGCCATGAGAAAATATCTCATGCTTCTGGAAATAAACTGGGGAATCCTGGAGGTAAAACAATCAATTTATTATGCTTTTCAATGTTTAGATCAGTAGTTTTCAGACTCACATTTGTTGGATTGCTTGATATATAATTTATACACTTTTTATGGGGTCTAATTTACAAAACGTACCACCTGATAATAATCATTCATCATTCTGTTGGAATTTCATCTCTCTCACATTCTCATGTCTTTTGCAACTCTCATCAATACTCAATACCTGTATCCTGATTAACCACATTCCATACCTCAGGCTCAATTATAGATACATGAAGCTGTACCATATTCTGAGAACTTCATCATCATATAATGAAGTCCACCACTCCCAGGGGCCCTAGACCTCTTACAAGTTACTCTGAGTATCTCATTTCTGCTTTTCTTAACACAAGTTGCATTACATTATTGCGTGAATCAAAATCCAAAAAATCCAACAAGGGTTTACTTTTAAGCTCAATTATAGGATTGAATTTAAAATGCAAGCAAGATCGGGGTTCAATCACATGTCACATTGGTGGTTGTAATTGTTCATCAAAAAAATGCTCACACTTGGTGATTTTGAAATATTTGAGATGATCAGCCTGAAATTCTTCCTGCGAGAATCAAAATTTGTCCTTCTTGTATTTTCAGACAAAAAAAAACCAGTCACTACTTGGCTGAAGTAGAGGTTTTCGCATAAATTGATGGGCAGTTTCAAGGACTTCCCAGATTGAAAGGGATTCTAGTTCCTTCGGTGCCAGTGTTCAAAGAGTCGATGGTCATAATGCTCAGGAATTCACTCAGGAATTCAATCAGCTCATTTATCCACAGCTGAAAGGCATGTAATGTGGGCAGTCAGGAAAACACAGACATGTTCATATCAGAAACAACACAAGGAGATACTTTCTTTTCAACTTCGTTCCCTCTAAAAGTTGTTTGTTTTTACATTGGTTATATTCCTTGGGATTTAGATGCATATCTTAACGGAAAGCGCACATGATCAGAAGTGGGAGTTGGTTTTACAAACTTTTAGAGATACTCAAAGAGATACAAATCTCGTTACAGTCAGTGTACAATATTGTTTGACAACGTCCTCACGTTCTATAAACAGATAGGCGAAGGAGAGAGGAAGATTTGGAGAAGAAGGTGAGCGTTACACGGAACTAGAAGCTGATTTAAGTTGAGCGAGCCAGACTTGTATCCACGGATGGTTGAGGGTGAACATCGCTTCCCCGCTGATCAGAAGGACCAGCCTCCAAGGTATGAACGGACCTATCAAGGCAAGACCAACTGACGAGATGACGGCTGCATGCAGAATATTTAACGTGCACTTCGGGTCGGACCAATCCAGATAGACCAAGACGTGTTGCTTGACAAAATCTATTCCGTTTGTTACGTCTCCCATCATATTTTGAATGTTTTGCTAAGTGAAAAAAGTGGGACGTGGCCACGTTTCGTCAATATTCTTCATGTGGGGCCAATCGGGAGGGCATGGGCCAAAAGAGGTCGATAGGACTAACCAGATTGGAAACGTAACTGAACCGATTGAGGAGGTTCAATGCGATCGATAGGGAATGTGAATTGTCTGTCAGCACTTGTAATCTTGGTTTCTGCATAAGAGAGTTAATATAATAGATGCATTTACTCTGGCGATCCTTCGACGGGATCATCCGAAATATGTTTCCCACTTGTCGGATCAGCTCCCAGATCTTCCCCCATCCCGTTCGGATATCTCTGAGCATGAGTTGTAAGCAGAATCCAAATGAGGATGAAGTTGGGTATCAGAATAAAATAGACTGGATTGAGAGCTGCGAGTTGTCAAAAAATCCATCGATCAATTCATTTTGTAATTAAAAATATGGCGTAGGTTTTCGTCAACGACTGGTTTCTTGTTTGATGAAGGAGACAGAAGAATCATAGAAACATTTCCTGGAAAGAAAAAACATATGGAAAAACAGAATGGATAAATCAACGAGAAATTTACCTAGCCATGCCCACATGCATGCACAAGCTATCGTTTTTGAAGGATTTTGCCAGCCAAGTATCGCCTCAACAGCGTCCTATTTGGATATGTAAACGGAGAGGTAAGTGAGAGGGACATGAAGGATAAGAAAAGTTATCCCAAGAATTCCTGCAAAATTAAAAGAGAAAGACTAACTTGGAAGGTGAATATGGGGCCGCATTTGCTGACGAAGTTCTTGAAATTGAGCGTAGTAATGGGAACGCTTAGAGCTGGTTTCTCCCTCATTGCGTTCTTAGGAACCTGGTTGTTTGAGGACTCTGAGATCGACTTGGTTGATATGATCGAGTTCACCAGAATTCCTCCCAACAGATCGACTGGTGCATTCCGGAGCAGTTTGCTTGCCTGCATAGCATTCAGAAAAAACCAACTATTAACTGAGTGAGCAAAGCAGCTTGCTCTTTCATTGCAAGTTTGGAAAATATCTTACGGATGAATCCGATGGTAATCTAGGTGACTCGGGCATGGCTGGGATTCGATCTGACTGCAGCACAGGGTACGACTGTGTCGGTGTTGAGTTCGTGGATGGACGTGTTGGTACTTGGCAGGTCCCAAGAGTGTGTGCTGAGCCTGGGGTGTGCTGTGTGATCGGGGTCATCCGAGTGGCACACGAGGTCGCTAGACGGGTCGGGTTCGGGTATTCCCCTACCCGAGTACCCGCCACTCTACAATGCTCATGCCTTCCATGCGCGCCACTTTATCTTCGCCTATCTTTACCTCCGAAACGATCACTCTCGTAATAACAGAACTGTGGATACATAAATAATGTCTTTCCCCAACTTCCCTAACGAGGAGATAGCCGATGCCATCCAGAACTTCGGCTATCCTTCCGATCTGACGCCAGGAGACGTTGCCAAACCGACGGTGAGCAAGATGATGCTCATCTACGAATGGTTTCTCCTCTACTTCGCTTCAATTACCCGCGACGATATCCGGAACGCGGTCATGGAGCCACTGCTCAACATCCTTCATCCAGTGAGCCAAGGTATTTTGTCACCTTGAATACAAACATATTATCCTCTGCTTCCCCTTATGACAAGGATTGAACTAACTCGAATCTCAAACTTCCTCTCGAAAATCGGGTTTCTAGGAAATTTATCAGTATCGCGTGACGGCCGGAGCATTCAGAGACGTACTCGATCAGATCATGCGTTGCGCTTCGATCAACGACTTCTCAGATAGGGATTTATTCCTACCGACCACTGAACGTACCCGTCGTGTCTTGAGCGGACTGATCAACTTCGCGCTCTTCGAGAGTGAACAATCCGATTTAACTCTCCGACCACTAGAGAAAACTTTGGAAGACTTGCAAGGCCAACGCGAACAATTACTTGATCGAGAAGCCGAACTGATGGAACAAATCTCGATGATGCGGTAAGCCGCCCCCGATTGCACTATTTTCTTGCTTATAGCGAATCTTACAATACTTCGACAACTGAGTTTTTAATTTTTTTTTCTTGTATATGATTTGTTCGGTCCTAAGCCAAAAGCAGGAGGAAGAGGACCGGGCTGTCGCTGAATTGCTTCCCGAACTTGAGAGGCTCAAGGCCTCAATCCTGGAATCCAAAGGCAATGAGGGGCCTTTGGACCAGCGTCGCATGGAACTCTCGGAGGCCAAGAAAGTGCTGACCGAGCAACAGGTGAGCTTGTATTTCAATTTCTCATTCAACATGTATGCATCACCGCTTAACGTACATTGTTACATATGTGTAACCTCAACTCGGAACGATTCAGAGGATAGCAAATAATGAGCTATCTCGAGTGACGGCGGAAAATACTCGATTATCGACACGAGTGGCGCGTTCGCCAGAAAAGGTGAAGAGTGCGATCGAATCACTTCAACAAACATTGGCATCCGATCTCGATAGCATTGCCTCGCTTGAACAAAACTCGCGCATGTTGGAGCAAAAGATCATTGCAAACGATAAGTATGAGAAAGACTTGGCGGTATGCATCAAGCTCGCCGATGAATGGGAGAATGAGATGACTCGAGTCGCGGAGGTCAATAAAAATTTGGGCGGCCTCACCGACGAATACGAGACCCGATTGCCCGAACTCCAAGAGGTGGAAAAGAAAACTGCGGTTTGTCTATTCTCCTCAGAATCACACAAATCTCTCGGCGTTACTGATTATCGACTGCTTAAACCTTCAGCAAGCTCAACGACGAACGGAGTTATTGGAAGAGCAGCTGGAACGAGCTCATGCAGGTATACATCGCAAGAGACAGGGCGCGAAAGAGCGCTATACGAAGGCGGTTGAGCGACACGAGGCAGTCTTGGAGGCGCAGGCTGAACACGAGAAAGGGATGGAACAGCAGCTCAACTTAAAAGCTCATCTTGCATCTCAAATTGAGAATGCAGTCGAAGATTACACTCGTGGAATGAAGAAGGGCCAGGCTGTTTATGATACCATTAGGACTGAACTATGTGAGTTGAAAATTTTGCTCTCCTCATATCCACTTCCTGAAAATTTGCATCGGACTGAACTTGAGTTTCCTCTTATTTTGATAGTACATTTCACGATGAAACATCAAGCCGCAATCAACGCCATCGAGGCTAAACTAGAATTGCCTCCAGAGGAGTGAGAAACATCCTATTTCTTCAACTGATGACTATATAACTTCCAAAATTTGACCGTTTAAAATGGACATGGGCCTCGAAGAACCACACTTCTCGTTGTTAATATGATCTTCGCATCTGGGACAATTTGCTTTTGTGCTCCGTATCTCTTTCCTCTTTTGTTATTATATCGATTTTGTTGTAATAGCTTTACCGCAGTTACGCAGTACCTTGTACTACTATGCAATGCGGTCGTAATTTATTAACTGGAGTGCACGGGTATCTACAGAAGTTGTATTTTGTACAAGATTTGTTGAATGTGCTTTGTGGAAGTTGCAACTTGTGTGATAGATTTATTGTGAAGCACAATGCCGAGCGTCGGGCCCGGCCGACCGGTTCAGATGTAGGTAGATCCACGGGCAGTTTACGTCCACAGATGTTCATGTACGACCGGCTGAAGCAGATCCCTTCGCACGATTTTTCGCCCAGCAGTCGAGGGGGACAAGCAAAGAATTGGGACAGCTGATGTGGTGGATTCACTCATCCATGTGTCATAGTGTTAGTACCAAGTTGTAGGACAGACCGACTCCCGGGAGAAAAGGCCTATGTATCCGGCCGGTGGACGGATTGAAAACTGCAGTCCTCGTCGGTATATTCACCACATCCTTCGGGCTCTGGTAAAAGATCTTCAAGTTCATCCCCCCCCCCCCCCCCCAACCCCCATTACACACACCTTTGCCGCGATGCGGATTACCAATTGCCTGCCCCGTCTCCCTTCGAAGTCAATACAGACGCCAAACACTGGTGGCACCAGCTCACTCCTAGCAAGGCTTGACCGAATACTCACTGCACGACATGTGCTTTATGGTAACGAATCACATGCTCAAATCTCCTTAACCATAAAAATTGACTTACTGGAGAGAATTTGTATGCAGTTTTTGTGGCCTTCATGGCATGGTTGACGGACTCTTTCAACATCTTCGTCGTCAGCCTCTCGTTGAAAAGGTTGAGCGTCCAATACGGGATCGGCTCGCTCGAAGAACTCTCGTTGGCGCTCTCACTTACACACCTTTTCCGGTCCGCCGGGGCATTCGTCTTCGGATTAATGGCAGACCGGTTTGGGCGGCGTTGGCTTCTCACTCTGAACATGCTTGGGATGTCTGGAACGGTCTTGGGAACCACTTTCATTCTGGATTATTCCGACTTCTTGGTCGTTCGTGGGCTCTTTGCATTCTTTTTGGGGGGCACTTACGGGACCGCCGTTGGTGAATCTCCCATCTGGCCACTACATACCTCTGAAATTTTTTTCGTCCCCCTCCCCTTCTCTTTTGTGTCTTGATCTGAATGCAGTTGCAATTCCGTGAATTTTGGTAGCATTGGCGTTAGAAAATCTACCGACACATACTCTCGGCTTTGTTTCAGGCTTTTTTCAGGTAGATTACTTATCAGCTTTATTGTTTTTTGGCACACATTACCATGAGAGAACTGTAGCATACATTTCCGTCTCAGTGACTCAGTTATGAAAATCGGATCAATCGTTGACTTTTTTTTTCAAACCAAAAAAAAAAAAAAAAAAAAAATAGCACGGGTATTATTTGGGCTACTTCCTAGCCGGGGGATTTGACATGAACGTCGTGACCCCGCTCAACAACTGGCGGGTATCTTTTTATGCTGGAAGCGGGCTTTCATTCTTGACGGCAGCAATATGTGCAATGTGTCCAGATTCCGAGATTTACATTCAGCTTCGACAAGGGGAGCGTTTGTATCCAGACCCCCATAGACCTTCCATGGGCAGGTCCTTCCTAAGATCACTTCGCGCCGCGATATCCAATCACTGGAAGCGAACAATTTACTGCGTATTATTGTTGACTGGTTTGTTGCATCTTCCGTTCTAAATGAACCTCCTTTGCAATCCTTGCATCTGCACTGTCTCTCCGGGTTATTATCCGAGTCTGATTTTCACCTCTCGCAGCATTCCATAGTATATCTCGCATATCACAAGGTGCAATCAGCGATCTTATGACACACATCTCAGTCAAGGTGGAGAACCGAACTGACTCACAGAAAACATTCGCGCTCAGATTCGTATCAAAAATTTGCCATGGTGAACAAAAAGATGTCGGTTGAAAACACGGCTCTCCTAGGCATGATTGGTGAGTGGATCCAAGCCATCAGTGCATCCTTCCCGCCAACATACGCTTAACTCAAAAGGATAATCTCGCATATCAGGGATCGGAGGTTCAATGATAGGTACCATCGTCGGCGGTTGGTTATCACAATGTCTTGGCCGCAGAATCACTATCATCATGATGTGCACATTTGCTGGAGCCTTTGCTCCTCTTTGGATCTTGCCTGACACTTTTCCTGGGCTGGCACTCGGTGTTTTTTGGTTACAGTTTTTTCTGCAGGGTGCTTGGGGTGAGTATCTGCAAAGGCTTCCTTGATAAAATTGAACTTGAGTCCCTAATTATTCTTGTTCTTCGATGCTTATATGAAGGTGTCTTGCCGATTTATATCAGTGAGCTTTCACCCTCTGGTTGTATCGCCACTTTTGTTGGTCTGACGTATAATTTGGGTAAGGAGATTTATTATCTGACAAGGGAATTCTGGCGCCGAGCTTATTAAATTAATCGATTCATCAGGTCACTTATTCAGCTCAGCGGCTCCAATCCTCCAACAACGCGCTATAGAACTGACACATTACACCATCTATGACGTCGACATGTATCAGTACGGTCTAGCCCAAGCGATTTTGTTTGGAAGTCTGGCCGGATTCATCGTCTTGTTAACGATTTTCGGCCACGAGGAGCACGGAACTGTGTTGAGATCTGTTGGTGGTGCGATGTGGGACGATTCCAAGTCAAACTCCCTCAGAAGTCTGGAGGATGATGGCTCTCCGACTGATCGATTGGGGGAACGCATCAGATAGTCATTTGTCATCAGCCATGATGAAAGCCAGCGTCTATTCCAAGTCTTCTTTGTCCAATGTTTGCTCAAATATTTAAGGAATTTACTTGTCCATCGTCCTGGAGACAGCTGACTCAATAACCATCCAATCAACTTATTTCATCAGTGATAAGGGAAATTTGTAACTGTGTATCTAGTGTCTGCGAATAATGTGTAGTAATAAATGGCATTATGTTTTGTCTTGCCTCAGTGATTTGGAAAGAGTTGAACACCTCCTCGGTTGAGTGGTTGCCGGATACGTCGGATGAGGCTACTGGGAGGAGCATATCCGGGCTCCGCGGATACCCCGGATCGCCCCCTCCCAGGCTCGATGCATACGCCATTTTGCATATTTCCAAGAATCTTCCCACTTTCAAGAAATTTGAGGAATTGGCCTATTCTCCCATCCCCAACACCCTCTCACTCCAAACCATGGCACCCAACAATACTGGACAGAAGGGCTCACAGCTCAATCAACTCAAACAATCACTCAAGAAGTACGGCCTCTCAAGAGTCAACTCCAAAGGATCATTCAACTCGAACAATAAGAACAAGAGCTCGATTTCTAGCAAACTCAAAGATCCCGAGTTCAGGCAGAAAAAGCTTGCTGTCAGTATTATTATCGTCTTTTTGATTAGTAGTTGGATCGAATTAGTAAGTGAATGTTAATATTTTTTTTTTATTTAGGAAATTCACACCAGTCAAAACGTGTTTGATACCAAGACTTCAAAAGTTAAATTTCCTACCTCAAATCAACTTCAACGGCAAGGTAGCAATGTATCCAAGCTTAATCAGAAGAACAAGGCGATCAAGACGGTCGGAAAACCTAGCCAATCAGCCACACAAGCCCATCGGAGACGAGAAGAGAAGCTCCTACCCGAATACCTCAATCGACACAAATCATCTCAATTCTTAGACAAGCGATTCGGAGAAGGCGATTCAACACTGACCCCAGAAGAAAAGGCTCTAGAAAGATTCACCAAGGAAAGACAGGATCGATCATCACGTACTAAGAAGCGGAACGTATTCAATCTAGACGATGAAGGTGAAGGCTTATACGATGAGGACGACAATGCACCTCTGACCCATGGTGGGCTAGATCTGAACCTGGACGACGATGACGACGATCCTGCTGCTGACGATCGAGATCAACCCGAGTCAATTTTCACCAAGCGCCAAGACACTGATCGGGCAAACCGGTCTGACTTGGATTCGGATGAAGAGGAACACCCTACGAAGAAGAAAACGAAGGCAGAAGTGATGTCCGAAATCATCACGAAATCCAAAACACACAAGTATCAGCGTCAAATAATGAAAGAGAAGGATGATCAACTGCGTGATAATCTGAACGACGACCTCAATGAAATTCGCTCCCTTCTCCTTTCTTCTCAGCCTCCTGCTTCTTCTTCAAGTCATAAGAAAAAGTACCTCAGCCTACCATCCCAAGCGGTGGAGGAGGACGAAGATACAGAAGCCAGTCAACCGATTCAACCCAGATTCGCAAGCTCAAGAGTCAACGGAAGCTAAAAATACAGCCGAAGACTCGACTGGCTCCGGGGTGGACCGGGCTCTCCTCGAAACTCTGATCGGATCTTCTAGTCGGTCCTCCTCGCCAGCAGAGTCACGAGATGACGAAGAGGATGCTTACGATCGATTTGTCCGCGAGTTGGCCTTTGACGCCAGGGCTATGCCCTCAGATCGGCTGAAGACCGGAGAGGAGGCTGCGCTCGAAGAAGCAGAACGCTTGCGACAACTTGAGATGCAGCGTCTGAAGCGAATGAGAGGCGAAGATGACGATGATGATGAAGACGAAGAGGCCCCCAGTAAGAACAAGAAGAATCGGAAAAGAAAACCAGAGGCTGATGACCTGGAGGATGATTTTTTTCCCCTGGAGGATACTCAAGAAACTCAGTGGAGTCTGGGTGACGGCCTGAGACCCGATGGTGCATTTGGAGCCGGAGCTGATGCCGAAGACGAATCTGAAGAGGAGACCGATGACTCGACCAGTTTTGAATCGGGTAGCGACGATGATGAGGAGGCAGATGATGATCCCGAGCGTGCTTTAGAGAAGATACAGTCTTTGATCTCCACCGAAAGCGGCTCCAAGAACTTGAAGGCGTCGGGTTCTTCGAAGGCTGAGTTGGCTTACACCTACCCATGTCCAAGCTCTCATGCCGAATTCCTTTCCAGTCTGTCTTCAGCTTCCGTCCAATCTTCAGACCTGCCAACGGTGGTCGAAAGGATCCGGGTCCTGCACCATCCCTCACTAGGAGAAGGCAACAAAGAAAAGCTGGCAATATTCACCGACGTCTTGATTGACCATCTGATATACATCTCGTCTCAGCCTCTCCCGCCTGGAACCTCGTTTTCCGATGCAACCAACGGACTACTGCCACATATCATCAGCCTTTGCAAATCTTATACCCAGACAGCGGCTTCTCATTTTGTCTCAAAGCTCGTCTTGATGCAGAAGAACTTGACCCACGCTCTTACCCATCCAAACATCTCGGGATGGCCCGGGGCCTCCGAGTTGATTCTCTTCCGAGTGATCGGTCTCCTGTGGTCTACTTCTGACTTCAGTCACCCAGTGGCTGCTCCTGCGCTACTCTTGATGAATCAGTACCTTCACCAGCTGAGAGTCAAAGAGTTTGCCGATTTGATGAGCGGCTTGTTCTTATGCACCCTGATCCTGCAGGTAAGCATCTTTGACAGATATGATGGTCGTCGATAACAGAACAATTAACCATTCTCCTAATTTTGGTTTGCAGTACGAGACTCACTCCAAGCGATTTGTACCTGAGGTGATCAATTTCCTGGTCCTGGCCGTGTTGCGCATGACACAGACAAATCAAACGATTTCACAGATCAAATGTCTGATCCCAATCCTTGAAGGATCCCAACTAACGTTCTTTCCGATCCACCAGAAGAAGATGGGAAATATGGAGCCGCAAACGCTTGACTTTACTGGGCTCTTTGGAAAAACTGCATCGGAAGAAGCACGTGAACCGTCTGATCAAGATCTAGTCGACGCTTTCGACGTCATCATTTCACTCCTGAACAATTTCTCAGATCTGTATGGATCCTTGAACTTGTACCCCGAAGTCTTCTCGTCTGTCTTAGTAGTACTTGAATCAATCGATCTGAGGAACATTACCGAGGAGACGAAGACCCGAATCACCGAGTTGATTGGCTCGATCAGAACGAAGATTGAGACTCTGAACCGAATCAGATCCTTGAATCCGATCAAACTGCAATCCCATAAACCGATCCCGATCAAATCGCAAACGCCTCAATTCGACTCTCAGTTCAATCCAAACCAGAGGAAGTTCAATCCAGATAGCAATCAAGTGGAGGTCGATAAGCTGAAGAACTTGATCAAGAAGGAGAAGAAAGGTGCGATTCGTGAGCTACGTAAGGATAACAGGTTCTTGGCTGCCGCCCAAGCAAAGGAAAAAGACCTCGCGGATGCCCAATATAAAACCAAGGTCTGTTTCTTCTTCTTTCTCACTCCCCATAACTACTATCATCATCACCTTGAAACCTAATCCTCCAATAAGAAATAATGAAAAACTCACTATGGTTTCTTCTTTTGTTTATGTATGGGGGAAATTATCTAGATTGCTCGGATTACGGCTAGCTTGCAAGAAGAAAGATCGGAAGAAAAGAAACTGGATCGGTTAAAGATCCGGTTGAAAAAAGCTGATAAGGCTAAACGAGGCAAATGATGTTTCCTCAGATCCTTCCATTATGACCATGCATTTTCTTTAGCTAAACCTTTATGACAAGACAATACCTTTTTCTTGAAAACAAAAATTTGCTGAAAGCGTCCCCAACAAAGTGATCAAACTTCCTGGGCATTCTGCATACAACAATAAGACCCCATGAGTGTCCTGACCACTCGATTCATGGCCTGAGGTAAAGGTGAGATAGTCCCTATAAGTCTGAGACAAACAGTCGGTCCAAAATCAAATGAGAATGACTCTCACCGATTTTGGAAAATCTCTGCTAAGTTAGTGTAGAGTGTGGTGCATCATGGGCTTAATCAATAATTACTTAAAAATCATCTATTTTTTTTATATATCAAAATAAAAAAAAAGATGTATTTGACTTGGCCAAAGGTAGGAATCAAAAGAAAATAAAACAAGTGAGAACAGGGAAGAAAGAAAAAAAAAAAAAACAGAAAGGCCCATGAATTGATGATGAATGCCCTAAATTGAGCCCAAATCTCATAACATTGTGCAAGACTCCCTGACTATCGAAAACCATGAGATAGAGTGTTTGGTAACAAATCTTGCTGAATTTGCCAGGAATTTGCCTAAATATATTTGAAGAGTTCACTCATACAAGCTGCCCCACATTTGTATCTTATATGCTACATTCACGAGCACAACACAATCCATGCAATCTGGTTTTGGGGCTTGCAATTCCCTGGATGGAAGGTGTCCCTCATCACCAGGGAAAATAAATGATGACTAGATCATGGCAGGTGACATCAGGCCAAGTTCAGCCTGCTGTCCATCATCTATACCCCCTTTTGAGTGATTACAGCCCCCTACAGAGGACAAAGGGGCCATGGTAGTCCACTGGTAGTACAACTGGAGTTGAAGACCATTGTAAAGAAATTTCACCTGTCAACTAATTACTATTGTTTTTTCCTGGTGCATGAAATGAGATCCTGAAGAAGTGATTTAAAAGTATCTCTGTAGGGGTTGGGATTTGAGGCTCTTTGGTCTGGCGTCTAGTATGACTTTGACAATATTCTTCTTTCAGTTGGAGAGGGCTATTCAAGCCAGCTCAATCTAAGACTTAAAAAAACCACTATTTATTGAGATTTTCTACAGATTGATGATTTATCTTTGGGCTAAAGTTTAAAATTGATAAGCAATAAAAGAAGTTTTGTTGAGTTAGGTGTATCCAGGTTGTTTTTCTGCTTCCTCCCTGTTTCTCACATGTCACAATCTGTGAAATTTGTGTGTGTAGCTACCTCAGGCCAGCAGGATGAATGCATCATTTCCTCATCCTTTCATTCATCCATTTCTGCTGGACCTAGGTTAGCCATTTTATTTCCTTTTCTTTCTCTTTTCTTTGTCTTTTTTAATTTCAGTATTTCTTTCATTATCTGATGAAATCAATCCTTCCATTCATACATTTCTGCTGGACCTAGGGGGCCGCCACAAGTTTGAATCATCCTAGCAAATAAAAAGGATGGAATATGCTGAGTTTACTTAGAGATAGTCAGATTATATGGAGCCTGAGCTTGCAAAGAGGATCCCTTTTTAGCTGATCTATGGATACCAAACAGAATGGCAATTGAATTGTAAACACAACTTGATCAAGGAGCCTCAAGTGACATTCAATACATGTCACAAAGCCTAGGAATGATGTACTTCCGTGCTTGAACGCAATCATACTGAACAACTGAACATTGCTCTTGTTTTTGTTGACTTTGATTGATTTGATTATGAATGTGACCAAAGTAGCATCTTATGGTACATATAAGTACGCGTCTGTACCATGAATAGCTCAAGGCTCATACTTTTTTTTTTGCTGGAGGATTTGTACAGAGTGGATGATATCCGCAACTGTACAGTGGGTGGACCGTTATTTTTGGCTGCTTGTTTTGGATTCCAGAGCTTCAAAGCACAAACTTGAAGTCACAAGAATTGGTGAAGTGGTGCAGAATAGGTCCCAAAGAATGAATATGAAAAAATAAAAACAAAATTTGTGAAAATTAAAAAATAAAAATGTTTTTTTCCAAAAGCTTTGTTATTGATTTTTGGGGAGTGGGAGTGCTGAGAGAAAGAAAGAGTGGAACATGACAAGAATGATTACAAATGAAAAAAATTGGAACCAAAAAAGGGTGAGCCAGGTTGGCTGTCCAGATTGGATCCAAAACAGTAAATTCTAGTGCTTTACTACAATGTGAGCTGGTGAATGCCCTACTCAACAGCTGTTTAAAACCAACTGGTAACCATTTTTTTAGAATTTTCATTTATAATTATTCTTCCCATTTTCCATTCTTTCTTTCTTCCAGTGCTTCCATTCCCCCAAATTGAATATCAAAGCTTTTGGAAAAAAATATTTTTATTTTTTATTTTTCACAGATCTTGAAACTTTGTTTTTTGTTTTTATTTTTTTCATATTCATTCTTTGGGACCTATTCTGCACCAATTCACCAATTCTTGTGACTTCAAGTTTGTGCTTTGAAGCTCTGGAATCCAAAACAAGCAGCCAAAAATAACGGTCCACCCACTGTACGTCCATTATTGTTCCCCCAATTCCAAGCTCACATACATACATAGAACCACTTGAGCAGAATATGAGAGGAAATAGAGGCAGTCTGAGCAGACAGAAACAAAGAGGAACCCTTCTTTCCACATTTTGGCAGTTGGCTGTCCAAGCAAAATGCAAGAACATCTAAGACAATATCATGAGGAAAAAAAAGAAGAACTAACAGAATTCATCAAGTTAGAGATGGCTTCCAGTTCATCAAGGTTACTTCAGATTTCTCAAATTCTAAGTGATCCGGCCAACTCTGTTAAAATTGTTTTTGGTTGTTTTGTAGCAATCATTTCAATAATGGGGCTCCACTTTTGACAATAGCTACACAGCACCAATTAGAGGGACCTTTTTCTATAAAAACAATGCAAACTTTCCCCAGAAGTGTAATTTTGGTAAACAGGTGAACACATAAACAGAGGCATCAACATGAATTTAAAAATAGATTAACAAAGTGAATATGTAAAATATTGCAGATGGGTAGATATGATCATCACACCTAGGAGGGCAGAAATCATTCAAGTGCTGATAGAAGACAATATTGTTCTCCACAAGAACCGCAAGGCCATATATAGCCAGCTATATAGTCATATTACCAACTCTTTTTTTTTATAGTTTAATTTGGTTGTAATATTTCAATAAGCAAACAGTCCCACAAGTAAGTTATCAAGATAAACAGTATGCAACACATTGAACACATTATAAACATGACGAGACACAAAGATGAGCAGGGAAGGATATGTAAACGAACCAAGCGGTAAAAACACATACAAGTTGAAATTTGCCGTTATTTCCTTGATGGGCTTCCGGCCCGAGCAAGAACAAACAGACAGAGAGAGAGAGAGAGAGGTATGAGTGAGGACCGCCGGCGACGATTGTATCAGATCTGTGCACACAATCAACAGCCGAGCATCTGACGACCATCTAAGACCCACTTTTGATTTATGAATACATGTAGGTCAAACAAAAAAAATTGTCAAGAAACTAACAGTTATTATGATCGGGGTCAAGAAAAAAAATGCTTTTAAGGTATATTACTAAAAAATACGAATTCCCATCAGTATTAAAACATGATATTAAGGCAAAAAGAGAAGGCGAAAGAGGGTCAATGGGGGATGAGAAAGGAGGAGGAAGAGGCGAGGCGTGGTTGGCCGAGGTTGTCTTGTTCGACAGGAGTCGAAAATCTACGTTGATGATTGATGAGGTTTGGGTGATGAACCTGATGGAGATCGGAAGATAAGAGCTGAAAGCCGGTCTGAGAAGGCGGCGCCGAAGAAGAGGTGGGTGGGAGCCCGAAGTTCTGGCCGGGGAAGCCCAGTACCTCGGGACCGGTGTTGTTCAGAAAGTTTTGGTAGACCGGCTGGTGGATTGAAGAGACGGAAGTAGAAATTGGGCCAGGCTCAAATGCGCTCGCCCTTGCATGCTCGGGCAGCGGGAGGGACGTTGGAATGCTGTTGGTCGCCGGGGGGACGCACATTGCGGGGCCCCACGGTTCCATATGGGCCGAGCCAGAGCAGCCCATCGAGGTGGGCATAGCGAGCCTCCCTTCGAGGCCATTCTCTTGCACCCTGTCCGGGTCGATTTGGGCGTGTTGTCCTATTTGCTGTTGTTGTGGAAGAGTTGACTGGTGCTGGTTGGTGCTCTGAGAACCCGCGATTGTGTTTTCTAAGGAGCCACACCACGAATCTAAAAAAAGGAAAGACAAGGGGCGCTGTTAGTGACGTTTAGCGAGGGAAACAAAATATAGAAGCTAAAGGGATCCATCTTTACTCCAATTGATCAAGCCGGTTGGATGGCTGAGCCCGTCCCACCTGAAGGGTGCATCGCTGAGCGCATCGAACGTGGAATTGATATCATAGATCCCGCTGATGTCCCACCACCACATGGGCTGCTTGGTGAGCTTGACCTGAGCAGCAAGGTCCGGAGGCTGGGAGTGGTTAACAAGGTTTGTATTATCAAGGCCATCGACGGGGGCGAGCGACCGAGCAAGGACCGAATCGTTGGCCTTGTGGGTATCCGTCTGATGAGGAGGACCCGGACCCAGCTGTGAGGAGCGTGCGAGGCGGGACCTCTCAACCTCTTGTCGATTAGTCACTGCCGTCGAGAACAGGGCCTGGACGATATCATGCACCCGGTTGCGCACAAAACAGTCCGGGTTTTGTACACTCTTAGCTACCTTGGTGGCTTGGCCGAGGGCATCAAGAGCCTCTAAACTTCCCTGACCGATGTAAGAATGATACTAAGCCGGCACATCGATTAGTTTCAATTGTGATTTAAACATGGCTTCTTGGAGAGGAGGGAAAAGGAGGTCTTACCTGCACTAGACAAGAGACAAAGAAGCTATACTGCCCAATGATCTGGCCCTCGAGAATGTACGAATTTGAGTCCACCCAGTTGATGGCCTTCCGGGCGCGAGAAATCAACCGATCGAAGTCTTCTTCTACCATTTCAAACTTTAGGGACTTCGGGCCCGAAGGCTCGGCTCTCATGAACGGACGAAAGAGGAGGAACTCGACGGATACGGCGGCTAGACAGAGGTAACCGAGATTCTTCGGGTCGCTGATGATCGCTAATCGAGAGTGCCATTCTTCAAGCTCATTCATCAAGCTAATCAACAACTCATCTTTGAGATACGTGATTCCCGCTATGCATATTTGGACGGTAATCAATTAGCCATCTTTATGGAGTGTGCGTATACCCGAATGTACATGATTCATGCTTGGCGACAGAGGGCTTACAAGGCGTATATAAGCTTTTTAAAATTTTCCCAAGAAGAATCGAGAGTGACTGGAGAGCGAAATGGCTTAGGTAAAGTTGATCATCTTGTTGAAGATGAAGCAAATACTCAGGATCGTTTAAAGTCAGATGGTTATCGGAATCTAACAGATCGATAGCCATGGGCAAGCCGAACTTAGCGCGCAAGGTATATCATCATGTGTTAGACTATTATCAAAACAGTGCCTGCCAGCCCCCCTCCCCGCACTTTGTGAATGAAGTAAAACTTACGACTGCAGATGCCCATCGATCGGTGATTACGCAACAGGACCACACTCGACGTCTCAGCTCCTGATGAACGATGGAATGTCTGGTGGACTCAATCGGGCGATGGAGGCCCAAACTTTGAGCCATCCGAATAGCCTGTGCAAAGGAAGAAGAGATACTAATCAGAGAGGATACGAGAAAAAAAAAAAAAAGGAATGAAATCAGGAGAGACAGACCGTTCCAACGGCGTTCCAGCAGATTCTCCCAGCCTCAGGAATTTCGAATTCGAGGGAGAAGCCGATGGCCAAGAGACCAAGGATAGACTTGATATCACAGCGGGCAAGGATCTCGTTGTAGCGATAGAAACTCTCGATCGTCCGACGGACACGCAGGCGGAGGTCAGAGGATACTTGATGGTTCATTGCGGCGAGGCCGCAGAGGGTATAGACGAGTAATTTCGAATGGGATGATGAGCCGAGGATGGAGCGGGGGTGAGCCTGGCTGGGATCAGATTGTTTTCGAGTGAGATAGAGGAATTGGTACTCGTTGATCATCGGTGCATGCGGGGAGAGGGTTCTGAAGTAGTAGGACAAGAGTTCCTCGATCTCGCTCGGCTCGATCCTTGGGTTATTATCGACCGTCCGACTTGTGCCCTTGGAGTGATGCCGTTGCCGGTGTTGATCGGGTGGTTCGTTGGATTGCCGTGCTCTTTCGTCACTCCTCTTGGGTTTTGCTCGATGAGAGGATAGTGGGGGTAAGGTAGGTTGACAAGCTTTCTCGTAGGATGGCTCGGGTGAATCGGCGGGATGAGACGAGTGGTCGTCGATCGGGGATGAATGGTTATGAGAGATCTCTGCTTCGTCGGGGTCGTCTTCGTCGGAAGAATTCTGATCGTAAACCTTGATAAACCCTTCGCCGTTGTTTTCGACTTGGTGAGATTGAAAGTACTGAGTGTCATACTGGCCAAGACGCTCGACGGGAAACGAGCGGGTTGAATGCATGATGTATGACATGGAGGTGTTGCCATAGATTCGATGGTCACTCGATCTGGGGTCGATTTTTTCCTGACGACGCGGTAGACTATCGTCGGCAGGTTGAGGTGCTGAAAGAGTTGGGGAGGGGGCAGGCGAGGAAGTGGGTTTCTGTAAGGATCGAGGATTCAGTCTTAGTCAGTCATGATTCTCTGCCCGGAGAGAGCACAGACACGTGCAGCTACGACCTCGGTTGGGTCTGAGTTCAGT